ATTTTCACTTTCTTTATCCTCATATTAACCAATTTTCTGAAAATAACAGTGACTTTAATGAAAAGCAAGATGAAAGGTTTCACCAAAACTTAAAAGAATTTGTATGTACATTCAAGGTTGCTGGGGTATAAATATGTTGGTAGATTACTGCTGGATGATAAAAAGAGAGACAATTTCGACAAAGAGACAAAAACTTGCCAGAAACTCTTCACACCGATGATGCAATGAAAAACGTGTGCGTAAGCGAAAATCAATTTAATACTACAATATCTTAAAAATAACTAAAATTACCGCACTCGGTCTCACGAGTGAGATTAATGATCAATTTCAAACTTTATTTATATCTAATATTTTAAATTAATCTTATTTTCATATATCATATCATGAAAAACTGTTAAAATGGATTAAAAACAATGATTGAAAATTATTAAATTTATTCCATATATTTCTAGTTAACTTCTCTCGGGACTGGTTTTATAAAAAATCTGATGTCAAATTTATGATCGAAAGCTTAAAAAATCCCCAATATACCATTTATAATGCTTACTAATTGTTTTCAAGTGACAGAATAAAATTTCAATCGTTTTTTAATCAAATTTAGCATGAATTTCGGCTTTTTTCGTTTTTTAGTAGTTTCAACTCAATATGAAGGGTTGAAAAATAGTTAAAAGCATATTCAACAGTTTTTGATGAATTTTTTCCCGTAAAATTCAATTTTGTAGTAAAAATAATTTTGTTTTCACTCTTTTTAGTTTTTAATTTCGAAAAACCCTAAAAAAACTTTAGAAAATGAGGTTTTTCGTTATAAACTTCAAAATATACGGGAAAAGGCTATTTTTTTATTGTAGATTCGGATGTAACGTCGAAAAATACGTAAGAAAAAGTATGTATGGTCAATATTACAGACATATTTATTTGTTTTGTGGCCTGTGTAGTGAATCGCTGCTGCAATAATCATCTAACTTGACTTTTTTTACATAACACATCAACATAGACCAAAAAATTTTTTACTTCATCTTTCGCTACATCTTCCCGAGATTTCATATGCACACGTTTTGGTTCAGGATTTTGTTGTTGATAAAGATTTCTTTGTTGAACTATGACCTGCAGTAAATTTTTTTCAAAAATAAATCAAATTAATTAATAGTTCATGACTAGTCAAAGCAGTGTCTGCACTCATGCAACTGGGTGATTTGTCGAAATATTTTATAGAGAGATAAAATTGACTATTATAAAATATTTCATTATCTGGTAAATAATCAACGTCATCAAAGTTATTCTCAATGTTCTCGTTTTCAAGAATGTCGATCTTCTTCAGCACTATCCGTCCATTATCTTATAAATTTGAATAAAATTGAGATAGTGTGTAGTGTTACTTCTGTGCGTAATAAGTTTTATTTGTGAAATGTACTGCTCAATATCTCGAATATCACAAGTATTATTTCAATGGTAAAAAGTAAGCCATACGCATGCAGAATTTATACTAATAGAGTGCCGGGATGAAACGATAGCTCTTTTATACGTATAGCTCTCCAAAGGGGTCACTCACTTGAAGAAATAAACACGCCACCTGTTGGTGATAGTTGAAACTCCGGACGTGTTGTTTGAAGTGGAGTATTGAGAGTATGGACCTTGGAGAGAGATCTAAGCTAAGTGTACGAAAGGGTAATTTATTTGGTTTACATCAGAGTAAAGTGGTAGTTTCCACCCCATGAATCGGATTATTTTTGAGTTCGTAGAATTTATATATCAGATCTGGATTAACCGTTGAAAAGAAAATCTAAAGTTTATTCTTAGATTATCCTGTCGAAAATAATTGAATTTAGTTTCTAAAAGAACAAAACTGTAAAATAAAGGTTGTTCAATCTATAGGGGTGATTTAAACAAATATAAATTATAATAAATAAGCTGTGGCAGGGAATTTCGGGGGTGTTGACCGCGCTCCGAGTTCTTCCGCCACAAGGCCTGTTTGGCTCTACCCCCGATTATTTAGGGCGCCAGACCGTCGGCTGATTACGGCGATCGTCGGGGGTAAGGCCAGTCGGGTTGTCGCGTATCCCGGTCTGCCTAACGGCGACTGCGCAGAGTGGGCAAACGGGGATACGCGTTGTATCCTCGCTTCAGGCCTTGGTGTCCAACTCTCGTTTCCAATTTTTCCTCCTTAATTAGGGTATGCCGGCAGCTCAGGTGATGGCTCCTTAATTCAGGTCGTGAGGACGTTCGAAATCGCGCATATGTTACCTATCGAGTGACCCGAAAATATAGCGAATTAGTGATACCCGATTATGACCGCTCGCGGCTGAAAATCACTAATATACAGTCGAGGTGGGATATCAAAGTAAATTATATGTACATAGATAATTAATTACTTTATTGATATATTAATAATTTACAAGTAAGAGGTCGGAGTGAATAGGGTCGGTAAAAATCTGAATAACTATAAATCCGTAAGGATACAATTTAATCGGAACGTTAATGATTTTCCGGTCGGTCTTCAGTTAATAAAGACAGAGGGTCAGCGCAAATAACTCAGTCGCGAATTTCCTCTGTCTGATCTTACCGCTCACAATCGATTCATAAAATGGCGGAAAGGTCAGCGCGAATATCCTCGATCTCAATTTTCCTGGGTTAATCCTAACGCTCACATTCGGTTCGCGAAATGGCAGGAAGGTCAACACAAATAGCTAATCAAGACAATTTTATTCGATTGAACCTACGTTTGTAATAAATAACTAACGAAAGGTCAGCGCGAATCCTAACTCGCAATTTTTATTCGTAACATCTAACACTCAATAAAAGTTAACGAAAGGTCAGCGCGAATCCTAAATCGCAATTTTCTTTCGTAAAACCGAACACTCAATAACTAGTAAACGAAAGGTCAGCGCGAATCCTAAATCGCAATTTTCTTTCGTAAACCGAACACTCAATTTATATTCACGGAATGGCGGACAGGTCAGCACGATCCGATAGGCACCGGCGTCGACGGATCCACGCGTCGCGACGACCTACGGCACTGAACGATTTATTCCCGCACTCCGCGATTAAATAAAATGAGTGGCACTTTGCCTACTTACGATCTTTTCCTTGCGGTTTAGCAACAAAATTGGCAAAAGAAAATTGGAAGGCGTCTAGCGCAAATCGTCCTGCGATATATTAGCTAAAGGAGGCTCCGTCCAACTAGAGATCCAGTGGCAAAATGGACGAGAATCGGCTTCTCGCGGTCAAAGATCGCTTTTCTTCTCCTCTTTCCGAGAAGAAATGTTATTATTGGTCGGTATGCTAATTCGGATATCGGTAGCGCCCTCCGAATATCTTATTATTGGTCCGTATGTAAATTAGAAGGATACAGCGCCCTCCTTAACTCTCCTACTTTCGTCGTTATTTACCCTCTCTCACCCCCCACTAAGGTAGCTATCGTTAGTTGTTGGAAAAGATCTACCCCTACTCTTATCTATTTGTCTATCCGGACGGAAATCAAATTTTATTCTAATTTGCTCATTGGTCGTGACGTCACTAGCGAATTTTGTCAGAAGTTCGAATTCGGTCAGTTAAATTATGATTTAAATCTGAAGGGGGTAGTTGTCGCTCGCTATCATAATAGGGGTGTCGGCCGCGTGCGAATTTTACAATTCGATATTTGTTCCACGCTCATTATTTTCCAATTTATAATTTTAATTTTATTGTCGGAGATACGCATATAATATACACCGTTTCATTTGTAGCGCCCTCATCTTCGCATTTGCATATTATTCTATCTATTATTTTATATCGTCTGTCTCGCTCGCTCTTGTTTCGTCTATTTCGCTCGCTCTGTCTCGCTCGCTCTGTCTCAGTCTGTCTCGCTCGCTCGCTCTCAGTCTATATCGGCGCTTCAAGATGGCCGCTCAGTTCATAGCGCGTACGCCTCGTGTCCTTGCGCCGGTTGTTGGAGCGCCTCCTGGGGCGCTCCCGTGTCGGTTCTGTGATGTTCCTCCGGGTGTTTGTGTGTGTGGTTGCTGATTTTCGTGTGTGTGGCGCTCAGGATGTCGCCGATGGTGTTCGGCAGCCCGACACAGCTGATTGCCGACTGCCACTTCATCGGCGATTTTCTGCTCGCCCCAGGTGTTTCAGTGTTTCGTGAATGTCGGTGTTAGTACCTGGGAGTGTAACGGATCTGCATGTGTCATCAACATGCATTTCCGTTGCATTTCCCACTGAAGTTTCCGTGTTTCTTTCGCCGGTCGGCAACACGTAGTCGTGAGTGTGTGCGTGCGCTCTCTTAGTCCGTGGTGCGATCCTTTTTTTTTCTTTTGAGTGTCTGTCGGATCACGTTCATCGAGTTTGTTTCGCCAATATCTCCGGTGTGCTTGTTCGGGAATGAAAAAGGGTAATCGTTTCTTATAGGGCGCGTTTGTTTTTATTTTGTGCAACTGGTTACGGGGCGGCAAGAGACGGGAATGGCTTCCCTGAGGTGTTGCAAATAATGCAGTGCTCAGGAAAGGCCTTGTAATGTACCGCATTACAAGTCAAACAGATCAATTACTGAACTCAAATATTTATAAAGTTTTTCGTAATTGTGATTTTTGCTTGACCGCTGCCGAAGTTGAATTTGCGCGAATCTAAGCCACGAAAAATAGTATATAACCGTCGTATTATTTTTCAAGCTTTACAAATAATTTTGAGCAAATAGTAAGATTGACAAAGACGAATTAAAAAATAGGAAATTTATTAATTGTTTTTAAAGTTGATCTAACCTAATATAAAGTAGTTAAAAAAGAACTAGGACAGTTAGTAAAGCCTTCATACAACGTTTTATTTGGTTATAAGTGTTTTTATAAGGATCCTGTATACATAAGATTTACGTGTAAGATCAGAAGACAAATCCTCAACGTTTACTTAACGACAAGATGTCACAGTATTGGAATTAGAAAAGACCATTATTTTGCTGAGTTGTGGAGTACAAAATTTATGTTAAGTATTTAATGAATGAATGATCAGAAAATTTTTTTTGTAGAACTTACTTGTGCTGCCATAACTCGTTGTCTTTCAGCAATTAAAGTACATTTAGCACAGACACAATCTCGCCAGCGGCAATATCTTTTGTGTCCTTTTAAAGCAGAAACAACTCCATGATTCCGGCATCTAGCACATTTCGGAGTTCTCTGATACCTTTCAGCACTCGCTCGTAGTAAAAAGGTAGGAATAATATTTTGTGACTGACGTTGCTGTATTAACTGTTCAACACCGCCATTCGGGTTAACTTTCTTCGATATGGACATGGTATTTGTGAAAATTCTTCCTAAAATAATCTATTCTGCAAACAATCATTGATATTGGATGGAATCAACAAATTTACTTATTATTGAAAAATTATATCAAAGTTAATAAGTTTGAATCATTAAAAATATTGGTCTAATAACAATGTTATACATATTTCAATTTTTATGAATAGGTAAATAGAGAAGACTAAATCTTAAAAGCACTTAATATCACTGATTTTGCATCTATATAATCTTACGTACATGCAAGTTTCATTTACTTTATTAAAAAATTATTTTTAATTGTTCTTTCGAAAGTATTAAATAAAATTATTACTACGTCCATAGCTCTCAGGAACGTTTCAGGCAAACGTATCTCAGGTGCTTTTTCGGTTTGCGCACGACACATCTGAACCGGGATAAGAGATATGTATTGACAAGAAAGCCTTCGAATATAAAAATTTCTTCAAATTTACTCTATACTAGCTAAGTACTTTACCTAGTACCGTGCTTCGCCAAACCAATAAAAAATTCAGAGAAAGAGTCTTGTAGAGTATCAAACCAGATCATGCCTTTTTGTTACTCAAAGAAGTTCAAGAGCACTAACGCGAGGAGCTAGGATAATGTAAAGAGTGAAAGATAGTAATGTTCAAAATTTATTTTATATACTTTATTTCATTTCATCTTTTTCTTTTTTCTCCTCACTTAACGATTACTTAGCTGGATTATTTAAGGCTTCTTGGCTGGACTGCCTAAAATGGGCTCACGCAAAAGCTTAACTAAACTTTGGGGGTGGTTTGATGGATAATCCCTTTCTTCACTCCCAAACTCAAGAAAAGTAAAGTTAGCAGCAAAATTTTCATTGGCCATGAAATTTTCCTTTACTTTTCTTGTTCTATTCTTGCACCTTAATTGATGCAGGGGCATAAGAAAAATAAAAGCGTTTCTTCTAAAGTTAAAGCCATACACGAGAGATGGCCCCGTAAGTCCCTGTTTCTAACAAAATTTTAACATTATTAGAAATTAATAGCTAATCAAGGACTACAATGTTTTGTTTATAAAAAATTGTTTACTTATAGTTACTTATTACTAAATTATTGATTAAACTTTGAAATTTTATGTTATTTGATACTTTTAGTCAAAGTTTTAATTTAAATATTAATTTAGATGTTACAACAAAAATTTTTTGTACCCATAATCGGATTCACGTTCATAATAGTTTCAAGAACATAACTGTCAAACTTTTATGAAGATAAACTTAATAAATAATGAATTTCAATGAATTGTGTAAACTATTGACAAACTGAATGACAAATTCGTGAATTAGCTTTAATAGTTATCTTACACAAATTAAATTAAACCCATTTCCATAATTAAAAGTATTATTAGTTTTTTGTATCTATTTATTAACATAATGTTTAATTAGTTTTACACTATTTCACGATAAATTTCAGAACAACAGCATTACCAAAGCAACTCTTCGAAATTATTAAAATAGTATGTTACAAAATCCTATCTAATAATAACTAACCTAACTTCAATAATATAATGGGTTGAGTTTTCATTGAACTGCGCCGAAACTATACACCTAATCAAAAAATGTTTGAGTAATATCTGAAAATTATAAACTTTATTTACAAATTGATATAAGATTCATTATTGGAATAAATAATTTTTATTCTATGTTAAATTTTAAACATTCTGAAAAGTGAAAACTGGAAGAAAATCTCAGTAACTGGATAAAAATTTCAAATTTCACGACTTGCAGTCTCCTTGTCTAACTGTAGTAAAAAAGAAACGTTCTCACTGGCTTGTTAATAAAAAAGAAAGGTAATAAAAAAAATGGAAACGGAAATAAATAGAAAAAAATTAAGGAAAAACATTTATTAGTCTCTGGAGCATTTGGTAATTCGTATCAAAATTTTTCTTTCTTATTATGTAGTGATTTTGCAACGTGGGGGAAAGTTGTCAAGCTATTCTATATTGCGATAAGTAAGTGGAAAGATCATCCATAGATACTATGCAGAACCATTCCACTGATTAAGACTTCTATTGCTTTTTGATTGCTTGAATAATGAACATGATGGCTATAATACCAGCACTTAATGTTCCAAATGTCATGAATTTGGACCGTATTTCCAAATATTAGTCACTAGACGTTCTATGGCATTGGTGTTGAGCAGTTTTCCGATGATTCGCTCATTGTCACAGTCTGTATGATCACGTATTTATCAAGAGTCATCATTTATTACTGCTGATCGTTCTAGACAATATACAATTTCAGACAAATCTCCTAAATCTTTTTCTATATAAATATCACTGGTTGCCGAAGTTGGTATATCTTAATTTTTCCATGTCATACAAACAAAGGGTTTTAAAATCTCTGGTGTCCTGCCTCTGTTGATATTGGTAAAAATTTGAATCAACTTTTATTGAAATAGAAAAATGTTGGCAACAAAACATTACAATCTACTCATGACTCTTTAAAATATTGGTTTTGAGAGTCGTGAACTTGGTTTTATTATAGCGATTAACTTAAAGCTCTGAAAAGGAAATATTCCCAGCCGTCCGCCTTCAATTTTGTTGCAATTAAGATATGTTATACTTTACAAAAAAATAAGAGATACGTTTTTTTTTTACCAGCGGAAAAAGCTGTCTAGGGAGTGAAAACCACCCTTAAAAACAGCAGTAACTTTGGTTGTAATGAATCTTTTCTGATGAAACAAAATGAAAAAATTTTCTTACTTAAAAAATAACAAAACCGCATAGTTTTAGATTCGGGGAGTTGCAACCCCTACAAGGGAATGTACAAGGGAAAAACTATATTTTCGAGTGGATTTTTTTGGTACAGAATCACAAAATTATTATTAAAAAATTGAAAAATTTTTATCTAGGAAATGATAAAATAAAATTGACACGTTTCGGCGTTTTTTCATCTTTATGTATTTCGAGGGGACCTCTAAACCCTATTAATATTACATAAATAATTGCCGATCACCAATTTTGTTGGCCATTATTTTTTTATTAAGCCACCAATTATTTTCCATATTCTATGTCGTTTAAAAGTAGGCTAGACAATGACACTGTTAGTCTGTAGAAAAATAAATGTAAGGGCTGAAGATCACGGTCAAAAACTACCCCTAAAGCACTATACAGCAATATCTTCAGTTTATATCAATATTTTTCGATAACAAAAAATTTGAAAAATTTGTTATAAAAAAATGAATATATCTATATCGGTTTTGTCTCTGGGGGTTGTAACCCCTACGATGTAAAGAGAAAGAACAACCATTTTGATTAGATTTTTCGTGTAAGAAATCACGAAATTACCATAAAAATTAAAAAATAAATTTTTATCTAGAGAATGATAAAATAATATTGACCAGCTTCGAAGTTTTTTCGTTATTCAATATTTCGAGGGTGAACCACTCCTAAACCCTGCTATTGCTATATGAATAGTTATCAATCAACAATTTTGCTGAATTTTCATTTGGTATGATGCTGAAAAATTGATGAGAGAATTATACTGTCGTTACGTTAGAAAAGGAATTGGAAATTTGGAAACCATCCTCAAAAAGCCACGCCTAAAATCCTGTTTCAAAGTCGGTACAATCAGTATCATCTACTACACATGGTCGATACAACCAGCAATATCTGCATAAGCTTTGTTGTTTTAGCCTCTTTTTATGATTTTAAAAGAAACAAAGAGCGAATTCAGGCCTACTGTTGTAAAAAAAATTATTCTAAGCACCTAATATATATTTGCAAGCAAGTATATCAGAAAAACTGTAGAGTGAATTACTTTAAACATGGTTAGGGGATGTCTTTTTTACTAATTATTGGTAAACTGCAGTTTTGTTACTATACTCATGGATAGGGCAATGTGAACGCATTGTACGAGAAGTTATACCTTAAGATAAAAATTTTCGATTGATGATAATCCCTAAAGGTACCACAAGCAAAATTTAACCAAATTTTATTGGATGTATTTGGTTTTAGAATTTGAAAAACTTTGTACAAAACCTGTATGGTTTCGTTTGTTTTTTACATAGATTTTTTCAAATTTTTTTTGTCGAAAAATAGTCATAAATACCGAAGATATTGCTGTAACAGGGTTTTAAGGGTGGCTTTAGAGGGTGGTTTCTAGATCCCCAATTCCTTTTCTAACATAACAACAGTATAATTCTCTCATCAATTTTTAAGCGTCAGAGCAAATGAAAAATCAGCGAAATTGGTGATTGACAATTATTCATATACGAGGGGGGGGGTCAATAAGTCTTTACAAAATCCAAGAGATGGCGCTCGTCACGTTTAAATTATTATGTTTTTGGCAAGCACTTCTACTAACTAGATATTGTACAAAATTTCAGTTCGATTCATTCAGTCGCTTTTTTGTGAGCGTTGGTTGAACAAAAAGTTATTGGTTTATTTGAAAAATGGAAAAAATAGAGTTTCGAGCGGTGATAAAAGATTTTTACTTGATAGGCCTTCCACCAAAAGAAATCACAGTTGAGTTGAACGCCGTTCATGGCAAGTCTGCTCCTGTGTTTAAGACTGTTTATCACTGGGTAAATGAATTTAAATGCGGCCGTATAATAACAAAAGATGAACCTCGTTCAGGACGCCCCGTAGAAGTGAGTACGCCTGAAATGGTCAACAAAATCCACGATATGGTGTTGAGTGATAGAAGATTAAAATTGCGAGAATTAGTTGAGGCCACAGGGATATCAAAGGGTACAATCATTTCAATTTTGCATGAAAAATTGGGGATGAAAAAAATATCAGCAAGATGGGTGCCGCGTTTGCTCCCTGTTGAAAACAAACGAACCCGCGTGGTCACCTCTGAGATTCTTTTGGCACGCATACGTCGTAATCCGGAAGACTTTTGGCGTCGACTCGTAATTGTAGACGAAATATGCGTACACCACTACACTCCTGAAATCATAGAACAGTCCAAACAATGGATTACCGCAGGAGACCCAGCCCCAAAGAAGGCAAAGACAGTAAAGTCAACTGGCAAGATTATGGCCACGATTTTCTGGGATGCGTATGGAAT